GTATAACCAGAAGCAGAATCCCTGGGCCTTAGAGCAAGCATATATTCAATTCAAATGTAGTGCCAGATTGCTCTCCACAATGGTAACATGTTTATATTCCACCAGTAATCTTCACTGACACTTGGAATTACCAGCTTTCTAAAATTTGTGCTGAGCACTTTAGATTCAACATTTAACTTAATCCTTACCACAACTTTATCAAGGAAGTAGTCTTATTCGGGAGCTTCTTTACAAAACTGGATATTTCTCTGTCCAACCCCACAATGCAGAGTAGGTGCATGGGTGGGAACCAAGGGATGTGATCCATTTAAGTAACTGTAGCAATTGCTAAGTTCCCAAAAGTTTCCAGTACTCCAAGACCGTAAGCCTCCTAGTTAATAATTTAATAGGCCATCTGCTGGATCAATCACCCTACTCTACTACACTGAAACACTCCAATCGGGCCCCTTTCTGTGTCTCGCAGAGTTCTATGGAGTTCCTACCCAATGCTAACGAAACACTTTCACTGGTTCTGCTGGTAAGGTTATGATGAATTCTATTTTCGGGATGCTGGCTCTCAGCAAAACACCTTACAGTTTTTCTTCATAACCTCTAAAGGCCTGCATCTTGGCTCCACATGCACTGGCCTAAAGAACTCCTAAGATGTTCTCTCTTCCTCTCTTTCCCATAGGGCTGCTTTGAGCAAGATTATTGAGCAATCTATTGTTTGGTTCCCTTTGGTTTTTTTTTCTTTTTTTGTATGCAATCACCTTCCATTCTCAAGTCAACATTTTGGGGAAAGAATTGAAACTTCCCAGTGAAGTAGCCTGGATCTCTCAAGATACTATTTCTAAAAAAAAACAAACCCTTTTCCTTTTCAGGATACTTAAAGGTCCTCAGGGCCTATATTGAGACGAGCTTACATACAGCTTCCTAATACCCAGTGTCAAAGTTTACTGTCGGTAGATCTTATTCAGTAGTCAGACTCTTTTTCCACGGTGACTTATTTGCTCCCCAAAGATTCCTATTATCTGTCTCAGATGTCCCTTTCCCCCCACCCACCAGCATTTCATCCTGTGCTCTGCTAGCCAGGAGGCATGTTATAACTATATGTGGTTATCTAACCACATAATAGATGTTGCTGATTGAAGGTGTTTTTTATTTTGTGAGCACACTATTTAATTATTTTTAATTAGTGCCCAACATTCAAAAGTAAGAAATTTTACATCAAAACCCACATTTCTGGTTTCTCTAGGAAAACATGAAGACAGGTAACAGGCTTGCATTCCTGCGTGGCAACATTCCTCTGGAGCTGAAACTCTTCTCTCAATGGGACAGAACTGATTTGCGTCAGAGTCTGCCCTGTAGGTATTTTAGTTTTTGAAATATGATATATGTGTTTGAATCTCATATATGATCAGGATTTAAACTTTTTTAAAAATTGTGCCCCATAAAATATCAGGTTAGGCACTTGTATGCTAGAAGTGGAAGAGGCTTGTCATTTACCTCACACACTGTGTAGCCAAATTCAGTCCTTGGTACATGAAAAATATTGGGAATTTACAAAAGTGGAGACAGTAGCATTTTATTGTGGTAATCCTTAAATGATTACATTTGTTATCATAGGAGTAAGCAATCTATGCTTTGAATTATAGGCACATAATGTTACTTTTATGTTCTTATTAGAGTAGTAGCCCCTACCCCACTAAATTTCTTACTAATAATATTCAGCATAAAGTGTTCTTTTGTTTTCGTAGTGCAGTGTATAATCTTTTAAATGAAAACATGTGAGCTTTTATATTTAGGTTGGGATAGAAAAAAGAAAGGCAAAAAGAAAAAAAAGAAAATAGGGATATAAAAGAAAGTCAACGAAAGAGCCAAATCCCATGCATAAAATCCTAGAATCAATTTTCTTAATTGAAGCAGTGAATCCATCAGTGGATTATGGATGATTCAGAAAAAAATATCACATAAATACAACAGTGTCAGGTTCAGGTGCAGCCTTGCGTTAGCCTGAGGAGAATCACTAATACCACTGTAGAGCAGGGATCCTGGAACAGGAGCTGTAGAATTTACAAACTTTACTGATTCATTATTTTAGAAAAAAATTCTTGCACCAAGAGGTAGGGTTTTCTCAGATAATTTTGAAATCTGTTCTAACTTGAAATTCAGTTTGGTTTTGGAATTATGATTTTACTGTGGGTATATAAATTATTCAAAAGGATATGCTAGAAAACGTGTGTGTGTAAGGAAAATACAAATTCATTTTAGGATCATCTATCATTGTAAAGGTTTTCATGACTAATTCATTTATTGCTTTGAATAAATTAGAGAGTACCTCATCTGTAATTCAGAATAACGCTTTATATTCTTAACATACATAACTTATGAAATGCAGGGCTCTTCCTTCTTAGAATATTAGCATCCCTTCTTACTTATTTTTCATCATTATGAAAATAATATTTTAAACTAGATTTCCACAATTTCAATATATTAGATAACTTAATCAATTATTTGGAAAAATACACCAAAGTTCAGTTTTTCAGTGATGAAATAGTATCCAGGACAACAAAAACAAACCTCAAAATAGAGTCATATGTTCTCCTAAATCACTGCTTCATAATGGTTATTTCCAGGTTTGTTTGACTGTTTCAGGACAATTCTCTGTAGCATTTCTACATATCTACTTTTGCTCCACACTGTCTTTTTAAACAGCCTTGGAAGATAAAGATAGAATCTCCTCCCAGGGCAGATGAAAGATTTGTTTCCTGACCAGGATAATAAAGATAATGTCTCCCTCTGGGCAAAGGCTGGACATGTTTGCTAGCAGCCCCTTTACAAGGTTGGGAGTTTCTAAGCTTGAGGTTGGTCAATTTTGTGTAACACATATTCACTGTACATGCAGCATTTACCTAGACTGCTAGGCCTCATGCCCTCTGGGACTTGAGGAGGGGACAGAAATATGCTATGGGCTATGCTTGAGTAATAAAGTCCTTTGTCTCTGACCCAGGAGCCTTATGTTTTCTGCCAGCATCTGTAAAACTATGACAGGCTAACTTGTCTTGAAAGAGAGAGAAAACCTCAGACGATTCACAGCTCTTGACAGAAAGGAAGGATAATATGTAACATAATGGTGAAGAAATATAAGGCTTTTCTAGGATTGTCAGAATGTGTTGTTTCTAGAAGCAAACCCAATAAATGATGGCTGCGTTAGGAATAACAAAATTATTCTTTCGGCACATTTTACAAAGTGTTTCACAATAAAACCTTTCCTGATAACTTTTTTTATATAATATTTTTACTTCCTTTGACTCTCTATATTGTTTTTCTTACTCTCTCTACCTAGGCCACAATGATCTGTATACTTAAGTTTAGCTCTCTTATTAGATTATAAATTACAGAGGGCGAAGCAGTGACTTACTTCTGTATCCCCACTAATACCTACCTGGCACAATGCCTTAAATGCAGTCACTGCTTATTCAGTGTCTATTGATTAACTTGTGTTAATCAACATATCTTTAGCACATTATTTAAAAAGTCAATTCACTAAAGGAGATTACAGTAAAGTTTGAGAAATAAGATTCATTGACATGAAAATGCTGTAATTGCTGTCAAATGAATGAGAAAAGTAACTTCCAGTTTAATCCTATAGGAAGAAAATCTTATAGGATTATAGCAATAATCTATGCTTTGAAACACTGGTAGGATTTCTGAGGGCAGACAAAAGTATCTTAACTGAATAACTTCGGGTAAATGAAAGCTAGAGAGATAAAAGATTGAACTATGAACACTCACCGTTATAAAGTCCAACACATTTTAGAACTCTCCAAAGGAACAATGTAATTATAGATTTACTCGTTTTGTTTTTGTTGTATTAGTTTGGTTTGTTTAAATTTCTATTTATTGATTGATTTGAGAGAGAGAGAGGGTATGAAAGAGAAAGAGAAAGGGGACAGAGAGAGGGAGAGAAAGAGAGAGAGAGAAACATTGACTTATTCATTCATTGTTTGATCTTTATGTGTTTTCTGACCAAGGATTGAACCTGCAACCTTGGCGTATCAAGACAATGCTCTAACCAGCTTAGCTATCTGGCCAGGGCTAGTGTGGTTTGTTTAAAACAAAATTTAACAGCCTCAGAATTGAATTCAAATGTTCACTCAGGTGAGAAAAAATGAGAGAAAAAGACCTCACTGGAAACGTAGTTATTTTAAAGCCATCATGTGCAAACGTTAGTAAGGAAAGGTAGTAAGGAAAATTATTTTCTTCATTTTTTTGGCAGTCAGGATTTCTTTTGGTTCTGCTTCAGAGTTTAGCATCAACAAAACCCATAAAATTAACATATTTGTTCTTCACAAAACATTTGTAAAGGTAATTAAACAACAGGGTGTAATTATATTTCTAAATACTTTGCACCAAAAAGGTGCAAAATAGCAAAAGTTAAATACACATCATTTCATCACAATACTTACAAAATAATTTAATTGTTTCAATGCATATTAAAAAGTCATTTACTATTCATTTATATCTCAAAGGAGAAAAATAAAAAATAATTACAAAGTAATTTTTTTTCTGGACTCTCTATTGAGCCTCAGCATTACACCAGGATGTATGATTTAACAACCTATTTTACAAGTAGTTTTGAAATACAGAGATTTAATAGAGCAAGAACAAGTGAATAACAAAGAAATAAGTTTACTATCTAAAGGAAGATGGTTTCTCTTTATATTTAAAATAATAACATTAGGCTAGATGTGGGGGTGGAGGGACTGAGCAAATAACACAATCATTCGGTTAAAATAAGTCTCTTTTCATAGAATACATTTAAGTGACCAAGACACTATTATAATTTCATCTAATATTCTCTTCCTAATTTTATTATTCTAATAAAAATGTTTATATTTTAGTTTTTCTTTCTATATTTTCCATATGAGTACACAGTACCAGTGTCCATCAATGTATATATTAATTATGTCCTATAAATACCATTTAATTGAGAGAATATATCTTATTTTATTTTTTACACTCCATAAGTCTGTAGAATGGTTTGTCTCATAGAGGAGAGAGCACCTGAATAGGTTAGACTTTGTTGTTAGAGCAAGCTCAAATTGTGTCAGACAGTTTTGATTATCTGCCACAGAGTGCTGCTTGCAAAGAGTATATTTTAAATATAACACATTAAGAATCCTAATGGTTTATAAGTGGTAGTCTTTAACTTGACACATATTATCCTTTTAGTGTTTATGCTTTTATACTCCGTATAATGACTGTCATTATTAAAGTAATTTATATGCCAGACTTATAATTTTTTGGATTATAGACACAATTTGTATTTGGAATGCTGATACTCCAAAGCATTTGAATTAAAACAACATTACAACTACACAAATATTATTGGCCCAACACATGCCCTTTTAATGGATGAAATTTACTCAACTGCTATCATTAATATGAAATACCACCTGCTAATTATGTACAAATTACAGTTTAATGCCTTTCTCCCACTCAATAAAAAATTAAATTCTAAAATACATTTTTTCATTTTTGATGCAATCAAATTCAATAAATGAGAAAGTATAAGTATTTTATAAACATGTGTTTAACAGAGCTCTATCTACAGATATCTGAATTAAGCAGTGCAATTTTTAGCTTAAAATAATTATGGTGAGGATAATTGTAGGGAAAAGAGCTGAAATTTAGAAACAGAAAAAGTATGGGTGAAAATTTGTTTTAAATAGTTCATTGCTAAATATGGAGTATTCTATAGAGTCACATAAATTATAGCTCAAATAAACAAACATTCACTTGTGCTTTCTTTGTGAAATAAAAAAAAATTGTATACCTCAAACTAGTTAATAATTTTGAATTGTTTATTAGAAAGTCTTAGTAATTTTCAAATGGGCACACATTACACAGGGCTATATAGACAGAACACAAACAAGCTACTCTTACCTGTGGTTGAATACTATTGGGTTGACCAAAAAGTCTGTTACATTTTTTCTGTACAATGGTTCTAGTAGTGCTTGGTTGTCTTTAACTTCATTTGGAACAATTTTGTTAGATTGTGTTGTGACAGCTGTCATATCGGTGTGCATTAAAAAAAACCAAACTATCAAAATTGGCAAATGTTTTGTGCACTCAATTTAGAGTTGGAAATGGAAGAAAATACACAACATTTTCAGCATATAATGCTTTATTATTTCAAGAAAGGTAAAAATAAAACTGAAATGCAAAAAAAAAAAAAAAAAAGATTTGTGCAGTATAAGGAGAAGGGACTGTGACTTACCAAAGATGTCAAAAGTGGTTTGCAAAGTTTCTTGGTACTACTGACATTTTGGCCCAATAATTCTTTGCTGTGGGGCTGTCTTATGCACTGGAAGATGTTTAGCAGCGCCCCTGGCGTCTACCCACTAGAAGTCAACAGCAAGACATATTCAAAACAATCCAAATCAATCAAGTTATTGGTAAAAATGAAAAATGTGTCTTTTATTTTATGGAAAAAAAGTAACGGACATTTTGGCCAACCCAAAAGGACATCCTGGGCTCTCAGCCTTTGTCATAAGTAAACAAGGGGGGGACACAATTTCTTCTCCTACTAGTCAGTGATTTTGTTCATCACTATCACCAACATCTAACTGCTCCATTTGTTTCTTAACCATTACTGAGGGAAACTGTAGTTATGTAAAGGGAATAAGAACCAAAAGGAAAGAAAGACCTCATAACAAAAGGCAGAACTAATGGTACACTGAAGGCCAATTTGGGAGACATGAAGTTCACACCAATGCAATAACCTGGTTCTCAATAATGTGATGTAGTGGGAAGAGCATAGTCTGCTAAGAGACATGGACCTGCTTGAAATTCTAACTGCTACCTGGTTTCCTGGATCTGTTCTCCTCTTTTTTTTATCCAACATGCTGCTGCTAAAACAATCACACTAAGCTACAATTCTAATTATGTTATGCACATATTCAGAATCTCCCACTGGTTCCTGCATTGCCTAGAAGATTGGTTTCAACAATGTAATGGTCATTATTATTCTTCAGGATCTGGTCCCAAACACAATTCCATCTTTAACTCTCACTCTGTACCCTGTTCCCACCCACATGCCCTCACTTCATCTATTTACTTCAGCCAAGGATGTCAGTCATTCTTTCAAACCACCCCAAAATTTCTGTCCTTCCCCCTACTCACTCTATTCCCACTACCAATATGTCTGGATCAGAAGTCCAACTATTATTCAGAATCCAACTTAAATTACATCTCCTCCAGGAAACTCCAAGTCCTGGTTTATGTATATTTTCTTAGCATTTTATTTGAACCTTTACTGAGTTACATGCTATCTCTGAAATATATATGACATATATATGTACATGACATCTGCATGTATATGACATTTATATATCTCTTCTCCATTACGTTATAAATATTTTATAGCTTATTTTATAGTCCCAGAGCTTAAGCCCCAGACCCCTTACTGGCACCTACTCTTTCATGGCTCTAGGAGGGGCCTTAGCAATTTTGAAATGCAGAAGTTTGAATTAATTATATTTCCTGAAGAAGTCCGCCAAATCGTATACACTTCAGGCCCCACAAAATGAGGATTTACCCTCGAGTGCAAGCAAGTTATTCAGTTTAATAATCTGCGTGGCTTCATCCTTGCTGGATGGCGCCCTGGAGCCTCAATGGCCACACTATTTTATTTAGCTCCCTAAGAGGCAGTTCATAAAACCCCATCACTCTTCAGGTCTCATACCCTTACACAGTTTTCACAGGTCATTTCCTCCATAAAAGCCAGTCTTTCCAGCATTAAAGGCCTGAAGGTACAATTAGGCCAAAACAATAAAAGAGAATAAGCAGGCGATTCAATTTCCTCCACTCTAAAGGAGAATCACATTAGAGTGGAAAGCTGCTATCTCTGGGTTTTCATTCCACTTAGGGAAAAACAGCTCAGGAAAATTGTTAAGAGATTTTGTGCACATACACTCATCTTGAAAGACTGTTATACAGGTGGATTCCAGGTACCAACCCTGGGAGAGTTACAGGAGCCTGATCCAAGGACAACTATTAAGAACTACTTCCCTGTTGCAGATGTTCAGTCTTCCGGGTATCAGATCCCTTGAAGGATCTTTCAGCATTCACATACTCACAACTTTAACATGGGGACTGTATTAGTTTGCTAGGGCTGTCACAACATTACCACAGACTGGGTGGCTTAAACAACAGAAATTTATTGTATTTTCAAGGTTGGAAGTCCAAGATCAAGGTTTCAGCAGGATTGGTTTTTTCTGAGGCCTCTCTCCTTAACTAGCAAATGGCTGCCTTCTCTGTCCTCAAATGGTACTTCCTTTGTGGCTGTACATCCTTGATGCTTTTTTATGTGCCAAAATTTCCTCCCTTAATAAGGACATCAGTCAGCTTAGATTAGGGCCCACTCTAACAGGCTAATTTGAATTTAATCACATCTTTAAAGGCCCTATAGCCAAATACAGTCATATTTTGTGATATTGGGAATTAGGGCTTAAACATGGGAGTTTGAGGAGACACAATTCGTTCCATAACAAAGACTATTCTATGGCCTTCACATTTATGATACTTAGCTTAGATATTCCCTCACACAAGCTCAGAGTGTGTAGATGGTCTGGGAGAAAAAGAAGAAAGCCATATGGTGAACACTACAGTTACTGGGGAAAAGACCATTCAAGGAAGGAGAGAAAAAAAGCAGTAAATTTGACTGGAAGAAGAAGGTCATTGATGGTCTCAGAGACATGTGTATATGGTTGTGTATATAACATATATATGTGTTACTTCCTTAATGCAGATTCCTAATCTTCTGGGTGTCAGATCCGCTAAATTATATCTTCTCGGTATGGTTACAGACACACACACACACACACACACACACACACAGCAGGTCCTCAAATTATACCATTTCATTACAACGTTGATGTGATGCCATAGGAACTTAACTCTATTTAAAACAATTAGCCTCCAGTAAAACTGGTTTCGTTGTATGTCTTTTCTCCACAGTTTCAGGAACCAACTGACAGTGTTAAGTAAGGACTTGTGTGTGTGTTGTCTGTAGAGAAAAAGAGAGAGAGAGAGATCAATCCTCTCTTTTGAGAACTACAAAGAAAATAAAATTAAAGACAGAAAGGAGTTAGAAAGACAATATGTGCTTCCCTTCCATCTTGTGACTACTAAAACAAAAGTAAAAAGACAATCAAAAAAAGGACAAATAGAAGTTAAATAGAGTTGCCAAAGAAATACCAGCAACATTTTGTAAGTTCAACAAATGGACAAGTGTTGACTGGCTTTGTACAATAAAAAGCTAAAATCTAAATGCCTGGAAGGCGAAGGGAGCCATTTAAGCAAGCCGATTCATGAAGGAAATTTCAAAAATTCTCAGAAACTGACGGCTAGGGTCCCTCTGAGAATAAGAAGAAATGGTTCAACGTCTATATGATAAACAGTAAGTCCAGACAATTGAGAAAAGAAAAACCTGATTATGCTGTACACCTGAAACCAATACAAAATAATATTAACTATAAATTATAATTGAAACAATATAAAAAAATGAAAAGTAAAAAACACATCTGACTTACAGGAGTCCTAGAAAGAGGGTTAAGGAGAAAAGGAAAAGAAGAAAAAAAATCAAAGTAATAATGCATTCTTTCCAGAGGCGAAGGCCACAGGGATCCCCCTGAGTAGGCCCATTTTCATCCCAGCACAGTGGATGAAAAAAGATCAAATCTAAGAGAAATTTCAAAAACAGGTGCTCATAGGGTCAGCATTAAAGGAATGGGTTAGCAAGAAACAGGTCATATACAAAATTCTAAAATTAGACATCTCAGCTGTTGTACTGAAAATTTAAATGCAATGAAGCAAGGGTCTGAAAATTCTGAAGAAAATGATTTTTATTCTAGAATTTTATATCTAACAATTGTGTAGGGAGTTTGAAGAATATTATTTTCTAATATACAAAACTCAAAATTTTACTTTGGATCTTTCTTCAAGAAAGTGGTAGAAGGTAAAATGTCAGAATAAACACCCCAAAAGAAGACATGGGTTATATACAAGTTGGAGCTCGAGAAGATGCACAAAGATGATGGTGAAATTAAAGTCCAGGTTGAAAAGAAAATCGGGAAGCGTA